GAGGTGGGAGGGGGGACCGGGATGGGGAATACATGTAAATCCATGGCTAATTCATTTCAATGTATGACAAAAACCACTGCAATGATGTAAAGTAATTAGCCTCCAACTAATAAAAATAAATGGAAAAAAAAAAGAGGAAGAGAGACACAAAAAGATTACATACTATGCGATTCCATTATATTAACTACAAAATTTTTAAAAATTTATGCTGCTAGAAGTCGGAATAGAGATTAACCAGAAGGGCAGTGCTAATGACTAAAAATGAGCATGAAAGGGGTTTTTGAGGACCTAGTAATTTCTACTCCTGACCTGGGTGCTTGGGAAAACACAGAACCCAGGTGTCTTCAGTTACTGAAAAATCACTGAGCTGTATACATTTATGACATATGCACCTACCTGTTCCTGTATGACATCATACTTCAACATAAACTTAGATACAGTTCTAATTACACACACCTCTGTATTTACTGAGTGAACACCAGGTCACACACAAATTTTCTACCTTCAAATGTATACATCTAAAGAAAATAGCAATCATGGACACCCTATTAGTCAACAAGCCAGGATCAAGCACAAAGAGCTACACCTGGCTTTTCACTGCTTCACTTAAATATGAATTAAAATGAATTAAAGAAAACTAAAAAGTATGATAGTCACTGTTCTGCAGAAAATAAAAAAATTTAAGTAAGAGCTATGTTTTAGGAACATTAGTGTCAAAACTGCTTGCTAAAGGGGGAAGGAGAGCAATGTTAAGAGGAGTCTGTTTCTTAGCTAAATGTCTGCCCCATCACTGCAGGACCCCCTGCAATTGCCATTAAAGACTCAACTTATGAGATAAATAAGCCATCCCTCATTCACCACCAAATTCCTACCCCCCTCACAACTCAACCAAGGCTACAGTGAAATCCACAGCAAGTCTCAGCTTCACTAGGAAGGCCTGCTATTCAATGATCTATTCAATAAGCCAATCATCTAGTAGGCAAGGGAAAAGGATATCCCCAAGTTGCAGCAAAAACTATGATGTATCCAGTGATAGAACTAAAGTTCTATCATAAATATATTTGCATACTTAGAGCAATTTTATAAGTTCACTGTGGTTTTTCGTGGGTTGGTATTGTTGCTATTTTAACATGTCTGCCTATAGATAATTCAGAACTGAGCATGATCATTTTTATACCATCCCACATCAAGTAGAGGCAGGATTAGCAAGTATGGTAATTAATCTACAATTTCTCCATTCCCCCATATCTCCAACGTTCCTACTCAGAGACAAAGACATACCAGTTTATCTATACCATGACTGACCAAGATTCACACAGTCCCGCCTTTTGTACTTCATAGAACACTCTAGAGGTCTTAGGAAAAGACAAATCCAGTGACAGAAGGAGAGACACCTACTGAATATTAACTCAAACATTAACAGCATAAAGGATATGCCAAAGTATTTTTCTTGAAAGGTTTTCACCACCAGAACTTTTCTTTCAGCTCGTCCAAAATCAATTTTTCAGTTTAACTTCTGTCTTAAGTACAAGTTGTTCCAAAACATGGTCCTTACCGCCTCTCTTGGAAAACCCTCTGTTCCGTGTTTGATTATCTTCACAGTCATTACTAGACTCTTGAATAAAAATTTAACAGGTGAATAGCATCTAAATAATTACTGCAGTATTTATATTATTGTAGTATCTAAATAGTATTGTCACAAGAGAAATTAACAAGCAAAAATAAATATATTCATAAGTTATCATGTGAACAAAACTTTAAATTTTAAAATAACAACAAAATACAAACACATTATTCAGTCAGTTCTTTTTAAAAACCACCTAATACACCTAAATACTAAATGTTAAGCATGTATCTGTCATGTTCTAAGCACAGCCAAAAAATACGAATTTCATAAATGTCATGAAACAGTTTCAGAAATATCTGAACAGTTGAGTAGTCAAACGGATCTCAGAAATGCATAACTATTTATAATGTCATCATTACTTCTGTAAATTGCCTTTCTTAATAAACCTGAGACATTAGTGTTTTTTTTTAATACATGCAAAGTTTCCCCCATCAATCCTAATGGAAGCATTTGGGGATATCCTGGCTTTCTGTTCTTAGTGACATTATTAAGTAACATTACCAGTTTCTACATAGTAGTATGAGTAAAAATTACCAGGAAAGTTGGTTAAAAATAAATTATCAGAACCCACCCTAGAGATATATATTTTGAATGTGCAGAGTGACATCAAGGAATGAACAATTTTTCTAAATTAAAGAATTATACATTATTGATATAACTTTCAGTAATAACTTTAAGCTTTCTAGAAGATTCCAATAAAGCCATATTTGGAAAATACCAACATGGTTTCAAGGAATGTTTGTACATATCACTAACATTTAGTACCGGGGAACTTTAGATCCCAGTGATGACATATGTGGCTAACCAGATTAAAAGTTATCAGTTGTTTATGTACAAAAGTACTAATCTACTCAATTAATATTGATTTATAGTAAACAATGACCCACAGCTCTTGCTGCAGGCTCCTATTTGAGATGACATCAACAATTGACAATACTCCTGAAGAGTCATTTAACATCAAGACAACCTTCTCAGAAGCAAGATTTCATACAAGGGAGTTGAAGAGGAAGAAAGAATTCTGGAAAGATTCTTAGAATAACCTGGAATAATGGAATTATTATTAGATGATATAATAATTCATCATCATCTGGAATAATGATGATGGTAGCTAACATTTACTGTCATATATGAAAGAAAACCTATGAATTAATTTGGGAACTGACAAGGAGAAAGACACCTCACATAACCTTTGGCCAACTGTCCTCCTAAAACAAACTTACAGTTATTTTGATCACATTGGGAATTAAAATAGGCTAATGACATTAGGAGAAGTTGGGTGAGGAGTACAATTACATTAGAGGCAAGCTGAAGGAAATCTTCTGTACTATTTCTGAAACTTCTTGAGTCAAACAATTTCAAAATAAAAAGTTATTTAAAAAGAAATTATCTCTGTAGAGTTAAAAAAAATTAAGCACAAACAAAAATGAGATAATGATCCCAAGATTAGTTATAATCTATTAATTATAGAAAAATAATTTAATAATAACACATAAAACTTAGTATCTGTCTGTCACTCTTCTAAATGAATTCTACTTTAACTTTTTACATCTTCACAAAAACCTTACAAGGTGGGTGTTATCCTCAATTATAAACAGAGAAAAAGAAATACAAAGTTAAACATGTTTTTTTAAGATAATACAACTGACAGGAAGAGAAGGATCTGGGTCTCAAACCCCACGTGTCTGATTCCAAAATCTGAGCTCCTTATTGCTATACTGTACCAGCTAAGGGACACAAGATACAGGAAAAATAACCACAAAATACACTATATATCTGTGTGCAGAGAAAAAAAGCTTCTATCATGATAGCAAAACCTGCTTTTTAAGTTATAAAGACTCCATAGATCAGTGGTTACCAAATGAAAGAGGCATCAGAGTCATCAGGGAGGCTTTTAAAAATACAGGATCCAGGGCCTCACTCAAATCTCCTCAATCAGGTTCTCTTGGGAAAGTATTATTAATTATTTAAGTCTATCTTCTGCTAGCAATACTCTATTCTCACCATTTTCTGTATTCCTCCAAACCAGAGTGTCAGTACCTTTACATAAATGTCTTTGATTTCAGCAATGATCCAGTGTCGAATCCGTTTCCACTGGAAATACTTATTTGAGTCTGAATAAGGACCTACATGCCCCACACTGTATTTATATATGAAAGTGAAATTTTGCTTCCTGACTTGCTCTACTATCCTCTTTTTCTTAAGGTAACACAGCATTCAAAAGTTGTACTTCATAGATTAGTTAAGATAGATGACAACAGCCCAGATGAGGAAGGCTGAATTCTTGGTTAAGGCTCTGCCTATACTACTTTGGTCACAAAGAGTCAGACACAACTGAGCAACTGAACTGATACTGCTTTGGGGCTTCCATGGTGGCTCAACTGGCAAAGAATTCGCCTGCAATGTGGGAGACCTGGGTTGGGAAGATCCTCTGGAGAAGGGAACGGCTAACCACTCCAGTATTCTGGCCAAGAGAATTCATGGATGAAGCACAAGCTGGAATCAAGACAGCTGGGAGAAGTATCAATAATATCAGATATGCAGATGACACCACCCTTACGGCAGAAAGCCAAGAGGAACTAAAGAGCCTCTTGATGAAAGTGAAAGAGAGTGGAAAAAGTTGGCTTAAAACTCAATATCCAAAAAACGAAGATCATGGTATCTGGTCCCATCACTTCATGGAAAATAGATAGGGAAACAATGGAAACAGTGGCTAACTATTTTCTTGGGCTCCAAAATCACTGCACATGGTGACTGCAGCCATGAAATTAAAAGATGCTTGCTCCTTGGAAGAAAAGCTATGACCAACCTAGACAGCACATTAAAAAGCAGACACATCACCTTGCCGACAAAGGTCCATCTAGTCAATGCTATGATTTTCCCACTAGTCATGTATGAATGTGAGTTGGACCATAAAGAAAGCTGAGCGCCAAAGATGCTTCAAGCTGTGGTATTGGAGAAGACTCTTGAGAGTGCCTTGGACTGCACGGAGACCAAACTAGTCAATCCTAAAGGAAGTTAGTCCTGAATATTCATTGGAAGGACTGACGCTGAAGCTGAAGCTCCAATACTTTGGCCACCTGATGCCAAAGAATTGACTCATTAGAAAAGACCCTAATGCTGAGAAAGATTTGCCGACAAAGGTCCATCTAGTCAATGCTATGATTTTCCCACTAGTCATGTATGAATGTGAGTTGGACCATAAAGAAAGCTGAGCGCCAAAGATGCTTCAAGCTGTGGTATTGGAGAAGACTCTTGAGAGTGCCTTGGACTGCACGGAGACCAAACTAGTCAATCCTAAAGGAAGTTAGTCCTGAATATTCATTGGAAGGACTAATGCTGAAGTTGAAGCTCCAAAACTTTGGCCACCTGAGGCCAAAGAATTGACTCATTAGAAAAGACCCTAATGCTGAGAAAGATTGAAGGCAGGAAGAGAAGGGGACGACAGAGGATGAGACGGTTGGATAGCATCATCGACTGGATGGAAATGAGTTTGAGCAAGCTCTGGGAGTTGGTGATGGACAGGAAAGCCCGGCGTGCTGCAGTTCATGGGGTCGCAAAGAGTTGGACACGACTGAGCACGACTGAACTGACTGATAGCTGCTTTATAAAACCGTGTTTAAATAAATTAGAGCTGGAACAGACTAAGATAATTTTATTTTCTCCTTAGCATGTATTCTAGACACTAAATTCTTAAGTCACTACGAGAAACAGTGAACTTACCTCTCCAGAAACCAGAGCTATCACATTCTTCAAACTTGTTATTTGAAAAACCTACATGAAACATAAAATTAAACTTGTAAATTTCTGAAAACAACTACCTAAACCAAAAACCAATTTCTTCTGCAGAAGAAAGAGAAACAGAGAAGAAAGAAACACTGTACAGGGGCTGCTAGTTATGATGTCCCTTTAAAATTGTATAAATTGCATACAACTATATATATAAATAGTGAATGAGAATGCATATGCATTGTATGACAACTTCTGCCTTGTGTCAGTTTATTAAGATTAAAATACCAGCCAATGTTATATTATCTGAAATGTTACATATTCCTCCATATGTACATGAGTGAAACATGTGTGTGTGTGTGTAACTCACTATAACCACTATGTACTTTCTATTCAAAATATCAAATTTTTATGGATTTTATAAATTATACTTTCATCTGCTGGAGGACAACTAAATTACAATCCAATATCATATCATTTTCCCTTTCTCAGTATCGAGGAAATTCTACCAACTTCTATTTATAAAATTTTAAAAACAATCTTTCACCAAACTCTGCTTTCAAATTTCTCATTTAATAAAACCTTGTGTCTAGATCTATGTATCTCTGGAACATATAGATGTAGCTCTAAAATTCACTTTAAAAGCATCCATCAGTAATACTTCATACATTTTAAAAAATATGAGTTTTAATAAAATGATCTTTTAGATACCTGAGTAACTACAAGTTACTCAGATAATGTAACTTAAAATTAAATTTCAATATGCAATGTCTGTCAATCATGATCTAATTTAAATAATAAAATATATTAAATTACAGCTTCAATAGTACAGAGACCAATCAATTACTGTTTGAGAGACATTAAATTTATATGCAAAGTGTCTACATATCAAGTCATTTAACATCTCAGGCTCAAAAAAATCTCATGTCCCAGCATTAAACTCCAGAGACATTTAATACACAATTAGCATATTAAAAAGTAAGTATCAGGCCACATATGGCCTCTGTATATGAATGGATAACACTTTTTCCTTAAGCATATGTATAATTTCAAAATAAAGACAGTCCCTACAAAAAGAGTATATATAACAAAACAGATTTTTTGGTTATTTTATTCATTTTAATACTTGCAACTTTTGAAGCTGGTTCAGAAAAGGATTACACTCTACTGCCCTCTACAACTGCTCCTTCCCCTCCATACACCTTTCCCAGAAAAGTCAAGTGCTGAGTCTCCAAAATGCTTGAGAAGTCTTCCATCTATGTACTATTGGTTTTGATCTTAAACTCTACATCAATTCTACTTTAGAGCTTTTAAATTTGTTTAGACACAAAACACAAATTCAAAACTTCTACTGGTTCTTTTGGAGAAGGAAATGGCAACCCATTCCAGTATTCTTGCCTGGAGGATCCCATGAACAGAGGAGCCTGGCAGGCTACAGTCCACAGGGTCGCAAAAGTCAGACACAACCTAGCAACTAAACCACCACCACCGGTTCTTTGTTCAAGTAAAGATGGAAACTCAGATTCACCCCTGGAAGTTAAAGATAGATCTCTTGCTGCAGGAGCAGGGCTAAGAAGTCATGAGTACAGGAGAAAAAAGACGTGGGGTTCACCTGTGGGGTAAATCAATTTGACGAGATGCTGCAACAAGTAGCATGGCTATTAAAAAGGAAAACAAGAAAACTAAATAGAATAGCAGACACATCCAAAGCAGCATAAAGTGTTGCTCTGAACTATGATTAGGAAAGTGAAAGCACTCCCTTTGTGATCTCCATAAACTACTGGGAAAGGCACACACTTCCTAAGTATGTTAAAAGGAAACAGTTCTTTGGCCCGTTTTTTGATTGGGTCATTTATTTTTCTGGAATTGAGCTGCAGGAGTTGCTTGTATATTTTTGAGATTAATCCTTTGTCTGTTGCTTCATTTGCTATTATTTTCTCCCAATCTGAGGGCTGTCTTTTCACCTTGCTTATAGTTTCCTTTGTTGTGCA